ACTATTATTACCGAAAGTTATTTTCCAGGTCCATGAGCGTGTTTGTGACCTTGTTTGTGATTGTACAAGGTATCTTCAAAAGCACCATTAGATAATCGTTTGATAATAACCAATTGAATCTGATATAAATATAAGAAATTCCAGCATACATGGATTGTGTTTGATGCACGTGATCTACGTATGCAAAAAATAGTTGGTCCTGGGAACGACCCCTTGAAAATATATATATGTATGTAAGAAAAGTATACTTTCCTTGGTTTTGAAGATGCCGCGCTTCTCATGCTCCGTGCGTCTTTTATTCTAATCACCGTCAGATAGAGCGACGATCAGTAGAAGAACTGAGGAGAAACAAAAAGACAGAATGTAACACGCGATAGAGCACAAGTGCAAAATACAAAGAAAATTGATAATAAGTGATAGTGTGAACAAAATTAGTAGGGTGAATAGAGAAGTGATAACAGTAAACTTTAATTGTCGTTTCTTTGTTCACCGGTAAGATTGTAAATAATAGTTGTTAAAAGTGAATAAAATTTCTTTACTTTGTTCACATATATACAACATATATTTTTTTTACTTTTACGATTACGCACATATAAATGGCACCCACTGAAATAATTATTAAACGACAAAATTACTGGGCGCCAGGCATAACCAGAGTTTTACCGCTGTCTCCAATGGACACCCTGGCCAGCTCTTATGCAGTGGGGTTCTGGGTCTGGGAGACAATAAATGATATCTGCAATCCTTAATAATATAAAGACGATACCAAAAGGGGCTTCTAGAAATCAAATAGATTGGAAGGCTTCGTTTAACGATACGAAACCCACAGACGAGCTCGATTTATTAATAACAAGGAAAATGGATATAATAATAAATTAATAACATAATGTTTAAGAACAGGATACGAGGAAGAACAACGGTTCTAGAATAATTTATAAAACGAATATTAACGAAGCAAAGAGAACAAAGGTTCCGTAAAAATTTAGATGTAAATAATAATTAAATAAAACAACGGTTCTTTAAGAAATGTAACAAATCGCGTATTTGAACAATTAATCACTTAGGAACCAACAAATAACAAGGAATGACGACCGCTTACGCGAATCTAATAGGAATAATTAAAAGAAATGAACGGATCTGAATCCTCTATCCTCCGTATATTCCCCGCTGGGAATCTAGATCTTTCGAATGTTGCTAGGTACGCGTAGCCTATCCCGTCACAAAGAATATCGATCCCGGGATCAGTTCCGAAGACCTACCTCCAACTGAAAATGTCAGTCAGCAAATACGCAATCTCTTAGCCGACTTTGTACCATCTACGACTTAATCGCCGGAAAAAAAATACCTCTACGCGGCCTGTGCGTTACTTGAAACACGACCGAAACGATTGCGCGTAGCGTGGACTGAATAGGAAAATTTGCATACAATTCCATTTTGCATGCTTCACTAATTACCAACAAAAATTATAAACAGATAAACAGGGACACGTGCTGTCTGAATCAAATATCCAGCAGCTAAATCTATGATCCCATTTATCTCAATCAATTACAAAATTAGTATGATTCAGTAGCGTCACTCACCCTTAATCGCTCTCTCTCCAACTCAGCCAACTCCTCTCTATCCATCTTCTTATGCTTCAACTCTCTTTCTATTTCTCTACACTTTTCTACTAAACTTTCTGAATAAGCTTCTTGCACACGCACCATTCTCCAATTCGGCTTCGCAGCGACTGACACTAGTAGGAACGCTCGCCCACTAACGTTCCCTAGTGCCGCGGAGGAATATTACCCTTGGGACCAATCAAATTTGCACTATCCCCTACGCAGGCCAATTCGCCTACGATCTTCAATTATTCTAGAACCTAGAAAAATAGATCCTAGCGTCTTCTCTTCTTCTGGACGGTTGCAGTATTGAATAAAGTTCCGAAAAGCGCATTAGTTTCTATTGTCTTGTTAATAATATAATAATTATTATTTTCTCCAGACCGTAAAGCCATTCACACAAGTTAACGTAACGATGTAAGCCGTATGTGTAAGTAAACCAACCAATCAAACTTTAGTAATCTCCCCCCACCGACGGAACAGTATTAAATTCTGATTGGTCAGTTCCCTTACGCTTACGTCTTACGTCGTTACGTTATTTGGTCTGTGAAAGGTTTAATACAGAAAAACAATATTTATATGCATACACATAAAAACAAACAAAATACGGATTGAATCAATCATATAGATCCTTAAAATTTAACACTTAACATTAATACCATGCACTCATTTCACACTCATTCTCACTTTTATAATATACATATAGATATACATATAATATTTTTATAACATCAACCGATATTCTTGGAAAATCCACATGAACGATTTGAATTCTAACGACTCAGAATTACAAAATCAACCATCCATCGTCAATGAAGTCTATATAATTGTATGTAATAAGGTGAACAATACCGATAAATATTGTAGAAGAGTAGTTTTATATATCGTCCTCGTCATCATATAGGCATTCTGTTCCTTGAAATAGAGGATTATTGAAGATCGGTTGATGGATTCTCATTATATTCCTATTTTTCGTCTTCCTGATGCCATGTGGTTTCCATTCATTTAATCCATAGAAGGGAAAACCAAAAAACCCTGTCGCCTGGTATCTGTCGCTGCTGTTATTAATATTTAATAATAGTTATTTAATTAGTTTCATAATAAAAATACATAGGACGTGAAAGATGTAATTTTTTACATTCTACAATTTTTATTTAAAACTTTTTTCTCTAAAATCAATATTTATAGAAAAAATATCAAAGTATTTTTTTTTCTTGAAAAATGGTCATTTTTTAAAGTTAATTTTGCGGTTATTTCCACTATTATATTCGTCATCAGCACGTAAAAATACGTCAGAATACAAAGACCCAAACTTTTCGAAAATGTAACGGTTGGTTATCAACTGAGTTATTTTCTATATTTTAATTATACTAAACGTCACTGAGGGCAGTCTTATGTACTGGCATCTAAAGTCCCTCTAGTCAGAGTCCGGCCAACAGTGGGCCTTCTAATGATTGGCTCCGCCATTTTGTGGGCTCTTTCCGGAATAGAATGGTGTGTGTGAATACGTACATGGGAGCATTCCAGGCATTCCTATTGTATATTGTGTGTAGTTTAATGGCAGAATGAGGTTCAACAGTGTGTCCAGTCAAGGAACAACAAAGAAAAGAAGAGTTGTCTAAAAGTGGGAAATGTGTAAGTAGACGTTTGAAAAATATTGCGTTTCTAAAGAAAAACAAGTATTTTGCATGATATAAATACGAGTAATATGTAAGTAATCATTGCAATAGCTTTACAACAATAACGTACGTTAGCCTCAAAGCTGTAATTAACGTTAATTGATTGATATTTAAAGAAATGTCCTGATACCGCCTACCTATTTTCAGTTCATACAAAGTGTCTTTATATTTCAGTCATGTAATTAAAATGCCCCGATGTGCAGCATGTCCCAATAGATCAGGAAAGGGTGTAAAGGTGAGTAATTTCCCTCGAGATGAAGTTGTTCGGAACACGTGGATACAGGCATTGAACAAAAAGAATTGGACACCAACTAAGTATGCAGTTCTATGCGAAGTAAATATTAATTTTTCTTTACACAAACATTCCAATTGCGATGCTATGTATAACGCTTCATTACAACTTTTACATTGCAGTTACATTTTGCACCTGAAATGTGGGAAAAGGTACGAGAAGATGGAAGGAAGAAGCTGAAGCGAAATGCAGTGCCCACAATATTCAATAGAGCAACTGGTTTGGTTGAAGATGACACTCCGTCGCAAGAGTACAGGATGGAGCATAAGGGCACCCGTATAGGTAAGCATAAACCGTACGGAACATTAATAAATCTGAGAAAAATATCGCTGTAGTTAATCTGTCTCATTTATCACAACCTATAAGAAATAGTTCTTCTAAACTGTTCTTAAACAAATGATTTTTTTTTAATGACAGATCTTACACAATCTATAACAAACAAATAATTGTTGTAAATTACGTTTCATCGTTAGGTTTTGCTTGAAGCAGTTTTAATAGTTAACAGCTTATCAAATTTATAAACATTATTTACTTGTCTTCATTCTATTTCTCAGACAAAATGACTCCAGTCGTTGAAGATGACAATCCAGATCAAAATATTTCTGTAGTACCGTCAATCAAAATTGAAAATGAAGAAAATCAGGATGAGCCAGAAGCGGAGCGGAAAGAAGTGGAATTAGAAACTGAGATGAATAGAAAAGTTTCAGAGAATTGTAATAGCGAGGAAGAGTTGGAACAAGAGAAAGATTTGGAAAGTCTGCCACAGGATTGTGAAAGAAAAATTCTAGGTAGTCATCCCAATTACCAGCAGTTGAAGAAAATGTACGAGAAAAGTGAAAATTTGCGAACAATTATGAAGAAAAAGCATAAGGAAACGATAAGAAAACTACAAAGAAGAATAAAGCGGCTCGAACAGGAAGTACGTGTAAATGATCAACGCACGAGTCACATTAAAAAGTTATTAAACGATGATCAAGTCGAAGTATTGAATAGGCAAATGAAGAAAGTATGTAAATGGTCTGATGCTACTCTAGTCGCAGGATATAAACTCAAATTTTCGTGTGGAAATACTGGCTATACTACTTTGATAAAAGAAGGATGGCCTCTCCCCTCTATAAGAACACTAAGAAGAAAAGTAGAGAACTGGAAATAATAACGATTACTCAGATGTATTTTGAAAATTTCTTTTACACAATAAAAACGGATCATCTTAACAAGAGTTGATGTTTAATTTACCTCGCAAACCTTTTTTTTCTTTATTGTTCAATTAAACACAATAATGTGTTATACCTATACGTATGACATTCACTGCTTTCAGCGCAAATTATAAATTGTTAGGTTTACGTGAAACTGTACATATTGTTTGAATGCACCAGTTCTAAATGTTGACATTTCCATAAGGATCTAAATCTATTTTTATATAACGTTTATAATGAGTTTAACACACATAATAATTTGAAAATCCGCGCACAATGTCATGGCAGCTCCAAACTAGCCCTAAACATGGCGTCCCTTCCACGTATTGGCCGGACTCTTGCTAGAGGAACTCTACTGGTATCCCCTCTCTCTTTTCACGGGAACCGAGGATTCTAAGCGCATGAGGCTCGTCGTCCCTTTTCGCAAATCGGCTGTCTGCGACTAAATACTGAATTCTTTTTGTTTTATTAAGTGTTACCACCGAGTACATCAGGTATATATAAATTATTAACATTGTGCTAGTTAACCGTTAGTCTAGATTCTTTATTCTTTATTTGTGGATTCCCCTTAATAAATAATCTAATAAAAATTATTTTTTGCGCAAAATGAGATAATGTTAAATAAGCGAAAAACTATCCTACCTAAGGAACTTAATGAACGTAATGAATGCGAGCTTCGCTCACAAATATCCCCCTAACATAACCTATTTCATCCTTCCCGCGGTAAAATGTTACAATTCTTATTATTCATCAAATTACAATTTTTTTCTACGAATGTTTATTTCTCTGAACATTATCTCATTTTTCTCGAAAAATAATAGTTTTATAATAAAAATGCATAGGACATGAAAGATGTAATCTTTTACACGCTACAATTTTTCACTTAAAACATTTTTCTCCTCAATCAATATTTAACGAAAAATATATCGTCTTTTTTTCTTGAAAAATAGTTTTTTTTTTTAAATTAATTTTGCGGGTATTTCCACTAATATATTCGTCATCAGTCAAAATACATCAGAATACAAAAAACCATACTTTTCGGAATTATGCGCTTTTCCATCCGCGGAATCACATCCGCACACTATCCCTCATTGCGCAGCTCCAGGCCACCACTGCAACTCCCTGATGCATTCAGGATCTTCGAAGATCTCGCGGCGTCTTGCTCCGTAGACGGCTTCCTCCAGTGGTGCTTTGCGGTCGTGCCGATGACACCAACTAGATTCCCGGGAAAATCTTTCATGAAACTTTTATATGAAACAAATATCGAGTATGCTGCGCGTCAGGGGAATATACTAATACTCTAGCCAGTGACCGTATAGATCCAGCCGCTGTCTCTGCCTGGGTAGTGCTTATGTGAAGGAGTCAACAGCACTGATTTTAACAAAGTTTAAATCGTAACCTAAGTTCACTTCGAATATTGCAGGTCCGTGTAATAATTTAGGCGATTCTAATTCGTGTTGCACTTCACTGATCTGTACTGACTCTATATTTTCAACGTCTTCGGCGGTCAAAAAGACAAAAGACTTCTCTCCTGCGTTGCAATAACTGCTATTTCGGTGCACTAGATAGAAAACGAACAAACCTAGCGTCATTGCAGCGCAGGAGTGGGAATCAACGGCTTTACGCATTTACCCGACTCTGCACGATGTTCGCCCAATTACGGACGCGAGCGCTGAAAAATATTTTATGTAGCTCATGCATGAAAAACGCTACTTTTCGTGCCTCCGAAGTGTGGCGAAAGTGGCGCTTTATAACTAAGGATACGATAAAAATGCTGCGCATGCGCAAATCGGCCCAATTTTACATTATCGCACTAGTGCTTTCTTTTCGCACTAGTGCGATAAAGTAAACTTTGTTCTCACGCGCTGTCATGAAATGCATTCACTTTTGAAGCCTTCCTTGCTCTTCTTATGGCTGCCTCCTCCAATGAAGAGATGTTCCAGTCACTTTGGAGGCGTGTGGTGACAGCATGCGAGAACAAAACACTACGCAGTGTGAAAAGTGCGTGCGAGAAGTAAAATTGGGCTGATATGCGCATGCGCAGCATTTTTATTGTATCCTTAATTATAAAGCGTCACTTACGCCACACTTTGGAGGCACGAGAAGTAGCACTTTTCATGCATGACTTACATAAAGGAATTGTATATGGGTAGTCGCGATAGTTTCCCGTATACTACTTCGTATGGGGTGAAGTTCGTTACCTCATATACGCATGTATTATAAGATAATTCCACGTATGGCAGTGGCCTATCCCAGTCGTCATATGTATATTTCCCGGCGTAATGTTTGATATACTCCGTCAGCATTGTGACTTCGCTCGAGAGCATCTAATGGGCATTCCCCTTTACGAGGGTATTTAGCAATAAATTTTTCTTTTTATTCGGCGTTCACCTCATGTTAAATCCAATACTTCTACCTGGATATCACCGAAGAATCGAGAGGCTATTCTTTTCCTTGGTCCAACGCTGGATCAACACCGAAGATTTCCCGTGTTTTGTCATCAAGATTTTTTTTCCGGAGAATCGGTAATATCCTTCAAATCGTCTGTAATATCAGTTAGCACTTTCGACACTGACAACTCATCCCCAACACCGAGGTCACCATTTGATGATTTGATCTTAACGTCTGCAGCATTTCCTATAAAAAAAAAAGGAGGGTTAGTCGCATTGTACGGGATTATTTTTCCTCTTCTAGAGCTTCACCAACTAATCAAATAAACTTACCTAATTTATTTATTTCAGGACTTTCTTACTCGTTAACAGCATTGTCCGTCGCAATAGAAATATTGTTTTGAAACCCGCCATATTATCACCGGGGCATACGACTCAATGTTTGAATTTCTGTGTGGATTCGTCTAACAATCAGCCAGTCGTCCGAATAACTGTGTAAAAGGGAATTAATGAATAAAACGTTCAAAAACAAAACTTTAGCATTACGCCAGAATTTAAATCTTTATCATGCTTCCTGCATGGAGAAAAATCTACGTGTTCATCATCCCCCACAATCAGAAAATTGTGGCGGCATTTAGCAGAAAGGTGCGATACTAATACGTAATCTTGAAAAACCAGACTCGTAATACAACCCGAGCTTATTACATTTAACATTCAAGAAATCTTAGGCCAGTCATAATGACGGAAATAGAGAGACAGTTTCTAAACGTTATCTACCGCCATATATCAAAATCATTAGAAGCACCAGAAAGCCGATGCTAATAACCGGTAATTCCATTGGATAGAACTAAAATATTAAACTCAATATGAAATCAAATTAGGCGTTTTCACTTAAAAAAAAAATTTTTTTAAATATATTCCTGCCGAGGATATGAGTAGCGGCTTCCGCAACGTTCTACTGTAACTGTGGGAGCTCATTCTAAAAATCTTCCAGGTCTAAGAGAGAATCCTACTGCATCCTAGTATCAAGCTAACTTCAGTCATAATGTAATTAAATATGTGTAATGAAGAGAATTCTATAATAAATGCCTTAAAGATGATTTTCGGACAATATGCTGTCTTATAGCCCCTGTGGAATAGTTCAATAAAATTTACGTATTGGTACAGTTTGTATAAATTTTTTTTATAAATATAATCATGAAGGAACATAGCGACCGAACCGTGAATCAGGTGCATATTCTACGTTAAACCATTTTGCGGCCCTAAAAAGGGCCATTTTTGTTTAATTGAGTGACACTGTTTACGCCTTCTTCTCGGTCTTCTTGGGTAGCAGAACTGCCTGAATGTTTGGAAGCACACCGCCTTGAGCGATGGTCACACCAGACAGTAACTTGTTCAGTTCCTCGTCGTTACGAATGGCCAGCTGCAAATGACGTGGGATGATCCTCGTCTTTTTGTTGTCACGTGCAGCGTTTCCCGCCAATTCCAACACTTCAGCAGCCAAATACTCCATAACGGCCGCCAAGTAAACAGGAGCTCCAGCTCCGACTCGCTCGGCATAGTTGCCTTTGCGAAGGAGCCTATGAATACGGCCGACGGGGAACTGGAGGCCAGCCCTGCTGGAGCGAGACTTTGCCTTTCCCTTCACTTTTCCGCCTTTGCCACGTCCAGACATTATAACTTCTCTGTATAGTAATCACACACGTTCGACAAGCGAAGCAACAATGAAAAAAAAGGTAGCGGTTGAACGGTTATGTAGCACAGAGGGCGCTTCCTGCGCACCAATCGCGTTGCGTCCCACTGTTGGCGTTGCACGCGCTAGCGCCTGATTGGTGCGTCCACGGCCCTGCTACTCCATATAGAGCGTGCCCAAGCGGGCAGTCACCACATTCGTTGAATCTTTCGTACGAGTGACTTTGCGTGACAATAAACTGATCGCAGCATCATGCCACCTAAAGCAAGCGGAAAGGCAGTGAAGAAAGCTGGGAAGGCCCAGAAAAACATCAGCAAGACCGACAAGAAGAAGAAACGCAAGAGGAAGGAAAGCTATGCCATCTATATCTACAAGGTGCTAAAGCAAGTCCATCCCGACACTGGAGTCTCCAGTAAAGCTATGAGCATCATGAACAGCTTCGTCAACGACATCTTCGAGCGCATCGCCGCCGAGGCGTCCCGATTGGCTCATTACAACAAACGTTCCACCATCACGTCTCGTGAAGTACAAACAGCTGTGAGGCTGCTTCTACCAGGAGAACTGGCCAAGCACGCTGTCAGTGAAGGAACCAAAGCTGTCACCAAGTACACCAGTTCCAAGTAAAGCTACTTGGCTCAATTACGAATTTCCAAAAACTGGTCCTTTTCAGGACCATAAAAAATTCTTACGTTAGCTTCAACATTCACAGCATATCTCCTTAATTGATTTTCCATCCTTGAATAAAATCTTTAACCTCTTACACTCCATTTCCTGAAAGACGGTGTTATTTCAATTTTGAAGTAACACAACATTTCATGAATATCGTTTTATTTATTTTCAATGTTGTAACATTGTACGTTTTAAAGTAGCTACGGAATTGGGAATACCAATACATAAAGGAAAGAAAGATCAGAGTAGGTCAAACTTTGAAAAAAGCAACAGTTAAGGTAGTTGTATAAAACCATTCTCGTCAATTCTTTCAAAAATTATATGCCTGATATTTGAAATAAATAATACCTGTAAAATGAACCTAATTTTATTAAGATTGACCATTCAGAAATATGGGGAAAAATAAAAGTTTACAGTTTTTACATGCGGATTCTTTATGTAGTAGATAAATTGAACATATTTTATTATTTTTTCATCTAAATGAGTCGTGAGATATTGATAAAAGATAACTATATGATAAATTGATATAAAGAGAACGCGAGTAAAAAATTTCAAAATTGTTTACCGTTTTGTTTCGAAGATATTAGTTGAAACGAAGAATTCGTCCACCGTCCATCTCACTATCGTGATTGTTGTGCATATCCGTGCAGATGAAACGGATATTTTAATATGTTTGAGAAAACTGAACTGTACGCTTTCAAACGTATATCCATTTCGAACTTTTTAACGAATAATAAAAGCAAAATAGAATTAATTTAATTCAATTCAATGTACTTTTCAAAAGATATTTCATTGCAATATTATCATAGATATTGAATGTTTCTATTCCTTTTTGGATATAACTGTCGCGCGACAACTACCTTAAGGCTAATGTATGCAGTGAAGAATATTTCGTCGAATATGATTGACCAACCGAGTGAAACCGGTAAGTAGAAAAAGAACTGGGCAATCACTTATCAGTGAATTAATCTTAAAACCCCTAAATTAAAGAAAATAAACGTTTCCGCTATTACACAAATTCTCTTGCCAGAATTATGTATACTAAGGAAAATATTCAGATTGTGCATTTTGGAATGCAGGTTAGTGGCTCTAAAATATTAATTCGCGTGGTATCAATCAGGACTCAGAAATGTTAAAAGGGTAAAAACAATATTTACTGCAGAAAAAAAATATTAAATAAGATGTATGTCGGCTAAAGTATACTAAAATGTATGTACGTGGGCATGTTTGGATTAAATTCAGAAACATCTTTCAGAGTATAAACGTATGTGCATGTTCCTCGGAATAACCGAATTTTGGTCCTGAAAAGGACCGGTTTTATTTTATAAGCCTTCGGTATTTAGGCACGTTCTCCACGAATACGGCGAGCCAACTGGATGTCCTTTGGCATGATGGTGACACGCTTGGCGTGGATGGCACACAAGTTGGTGTCTTCGAAGAGGCCGACGAGATAAGCCTCGCTAGCTTCTTGAAGTGCCATCACGGCTGAACTCTGGAAGCGAAGGTCCGTCTTGAAGTCCTGAGCGATCTCGCGAACCAATCGCTGGAAGGGCAGTTTGCGAATAAGCAGCTCCGTGCTCTTCTGATAGCGACGAATCTCACGCAGAGCGACGGTTCCTGGTCTGTAGCGATGAGGCTTCTTAACTCCTCCGGTAGCTGGTGCACTTTTACGTGCAGCTTTCGTAGCCAATTGCTTCCGAGGAGCCTTTCCTCCAGTTGACTTGCGAGCAGTCTGTTTCGTACGAGCCATGTTCACCGAATATTTTCTTTACTGGGAGTGTAGAGGGAACTTCACACCATAAGATCCAAACGCATTATGGGAGCATCAACTTTGTTCACCCTGTTATAGACTCGTCCGATTGTTGAGATCGACGCTCATTGGCCAGTCGGTAAGTGGTGGGGATACGCATAGAAGCGAGGATAAATACCCCTCGAATCCTAGCTACTGCATCAGTTCTACGGAATATTTTTTTGAGTGAATTTCTATTAAATTTCGTTGGTGAAAATGACTGGCCGTGGTAAGGGAGGAAAAGGTTTG